CTTCTCTTTACACACAGCTTCCATCATATTGTGTAATTCAAACTTTTACCTGTATTATCTTTACAAGGAGACTCTTTTTTTTTTTTCTTTACATTTTTCTCGTTTAATCCAATCAAATTCCAGACATTGATTTAATTTGTGGGACAGAGCTGAAAAAGGTGGCTCAGTCCTGCATATATCGGGACATCTGGTCACCCTAACACAGGTTGTAACTCATGATGTTGCATTGCATCACAGAAACTAGTAAGTAAATAAAAACTTGATGATCTTACACATAAATATCAAATTCAGTATCAACTAAATTATCTAAAAATTTAAATATTTTCATTAAATTAAAACAATGTATTTAATCTATTTATTAATGCTAATTTATGTACATTCAGTTAATTAAACTAATGACTCATTCGCCATTGTGGCACATTTTGCATTCCACTTTAGTGTAGGATTAAAATTTTTTAAAGTTTTATGAAGATATATGGAAACGCTGCATGAGTGTTTGTGTGACTGAGTGAATGAGAAACACCAAAGTTAAGGTTCCCTTCTCACCTGCAAACTGTCTATCAGACGTCCCTCTGCCCCCAAACTTAGTCACCAGCTTCCCATTGGACTGAAAGATGAAGACACAGCAGGCTTTGTTGTCCACAGTGATGATGTGTCCATTTTTATCCACGGCCACTCCTTTAGGACCCATGAGACGTCCTGCACCGATCTTATTCTGATATGAAAAAAATAACAAAGGGATTACATTACGGTACATGTAAAAAACAGTTACCTAGATTTAAGTGAAAAGTAATTCCTCAGATTGAGGATTGGCATTTGGCCGCCTGAATAATGTGTTCACCTTTCAGAAACAGACAGTTGCTACAAGGTATACTAATTAGTTTTATGAGTTTGTACCTTAAACTTGCCATCTGAGGAGAAGATGCTGACCCATCTGTTGTCGTAATCGGCCACCACGATGTCCCCGTTCATGTCTACAGTGACTCCTGTTGGTCTCTGTAGTTGTCCTGGAGAACGGCCCCTGACCCCAAAGCGCATTTTAAACTGCCCATCATTGGAAAACACCTGCAGTCATTTGCATCAGAAAGCTCACATTCAGCACACAGCAAGAAAACAAATCTAAAACACCTCTATGTGCATGTTCCTCCGTGTGTCTGTCTCACCTGTATGCACTGGTTGTTGCTGTCAGCCACCACCACTCTGCCATTGCTGGAGGCTGAGATTCCTTGCAGATTTGTGAATTCACCCTTTTCTCTTCCCCTGGAACCTGATGGGAAACAGTTAAGCACATAGTGATTGTGATGTTTACAGTCTAACGGTGAATCATTTATTTTTCTTGTCAGTTTATGCCAGAGTTTTCTTCCTATTTCTGAGGAAAGATTGCTGAGTTCCTTCCAGAAAACCACAAAACTCCCACTAGCACTCTGGGACTAAATTACATCGACTGCAGTTGTTGCTCCAGAGATTTTTCTCTGCATGTGCTAAAGAGAGGCAGCAAAAGTAAACACTAAGGGGGATAATGGATATGTGGTGTTCTGCTATTAAATTAAAAACATATAAAAACACATCTATGAAGTAGTCTATAAACTGTTGCCATGAATTCACTATATTCAATTATCCTAGATCTGGGTAAACAAAACAAAGTGAATTCATCAGCAACATCAGTGGTCCATTTTAAGAAGCAGGTTTACTGAAAACTCTTTTTTCTAAACCTGAAATATGGGAAGTTCTGAG